AGCTCGTACCGAGAGCGGTCGTCCCATAACATAAGAACCAAACGTTTTGTCTACGATATGATATTATACTTTTTTTTCTCCATTTCAGTGAAAAGCTAAAGCCTTATCTTGTTTCATTACTGCCGGGTTTTCGTTGTTCTGCAAACTCAAACATTTCAACGGCTTGGCGTAAAATTATTTTCTACTGCCGCCAGTCAGAACATAAAAGGTACCGACTGATTATTTTTGATTGGCGGCAGCGAAAAAAACAAATTTCAGCGTGGAGCTCCTGACTACCGAGTTTGCAGGAAAACTTTAAAGAGTTTATAATTATTAGTATGTCATTTCTCGATTGTTGTTCAAATGAAAAGCTTGAATGACTTTCAGATGTTCAAAACGTTTTTCAAGGGAAATTTTATTGCAATTTCCCCCCATATTTCAGCTGAGAGACGAAAGAAAGGAAAGGAAACAAAAGGATAGGTTCAGGTTAAATAGAAAAAAGAAGAGAAGAAAGTAATAAAGAAAAGCAATAACCGCGAAAGACAAAAAGGTAAGGTTAGGTTAGGTAAGGAAAAGAATAGAAAAAAGGAAAGGAATGAGAGAATTGAAAAACTGTCAAAGGAAAACAAAAGAAAACCGAGAAATTAGGATAAAAAAGTTTCTAAATCAAGTCAAGATTCGTCGGAATACGTGTGAACAGCCACTTCAGGAAACTTTTCTTTCTCAAGAATTTCAATGAAGCTTCTTAACGCGTTAAAAAAAAACGTTAAAACGTTCGTGAAATCTAGATAAGGTTAGTCAGCGAGACAACCTTACCGCGGATACAAACATCTCTGTACTGTTAACGAAAAATTGTAGTATTTTGAAATTGATATTGAAAAGAAAAAGGAATAAACTATACTCGATAGAAGTTCTGTATCACAATTACAGCATAATTAAGACAAACTTAACTAAAGTTTTTCAAAAACTTTTCTATGAACGTTGAAACAAAAATTGAGTATCTAAGTTTTACTTAGAACAAATGAAAAACTTTGAATATAACCTTAGCTAGTATGGTTTTTTTAAATAATTCTAGAAAACAAAAGCAAAAAGTATACAGATTATAAGAAGAATAAAATATTTCTATAAAAAGTAATATTTTTATTTGTATATCCCTCGTAATAAATAATATACATATTGTGGAAGAAAATTTGTTATATTACTTACATTGTTGACGGAGATTTTAAATTCCATCGTATGGTGCTTCTGTATTTCAAGCTCAAAGTATGAACTGAGGCTGCTTTATCAGGACAGTTTTTACCCGCTAAAAGATTTTACTGTACTAAACTTTCAATAACTTTTTTGGTTTCTCTTAAGGAATTTTCAAGTAACTACGTCAGCAGAGCTTGTCAATCACTGTCAAATCTTATCCAATCTGATTGGTTGCCAAGGTCATGAAACCCAACATATGTCGAGGCGATAAATAAACATGTTTTTCAAAACTTGTTTTCAAAAAGTGATACTAAAAAAAAACAACGATATTTTAATATCTAAAATGAGGAATTTACCAGAGTTTTTCACGTTGGTATGCAAATTCAATATATAAAAAACACTAACGTTTAATGCGTTTATTTTCAGTACTATATTCGCAAACTTTATTCACCTATCATTCTAGCAACGTAAAATTGTTTTGGAAATTCCAGCATGAACATTTCTACCTTATTTGGTTATCATAAATTGCCAATTACTTTCGTTATGGATATTTGGCATTCCCTTATTTTAATGAAAGCATTTACTCCTAAACTGAGTACTCTTATTCTTTTTCTCTTTCCAAGTTAAACTTGAATGAAAAAACAAGAATATCCAGAAAATAGTTATTTTAATTTTAAGAAGTTAAAGTTAGAATTCTATAACAGGGCATATAAAGATTAATCGTAGGAGGCAGGTGATTTTTWAAATTTACTTGTTCTATTTCTACCACCTCTGACGGTCAGAATTATCCTGCAGTGACTACTGATGAAGTGTTTACATTTCTGTGTTATACTGATTAAAATCACTTTAGAAGAACAATGTGCCTAGCTACAAAACAGAAAATACGACAAACACAGATGATTTTATGTACTCCTGTTTTTATCATTTCACACRATGTGCGATCCTGTTTACATTTCTATCCTATTCTAGAACAATGAAAACATGATAATCACAGCCCAGCTTGAAAATTATATTAACGAGGCCGTCAAACAGCTTTGCCTTTTAAGTGAGCGTTGCAATTATCGTGGACAAGGACCACAAGAGATTCTTTCACCTTGGCTCTCATTTTTCTTTTCCTCTTTCCAAATCTAAATGAAAACTAAATGAAAGAGGTTGCTCGCCTGTCACCAGGGCGACCCGGGTCTCTCCTGTATGCATCGAGGGCTTTTATCCGGTTTCTCCGGATTTTTCGCCCTCCTCAAAAATCGACTTCTTAATTCTAATTCAATCTATCGGTAGCTTTATCAAGTTGGTTGCAAGACCTATYATAGGTTTTCGGTCCACCATGGAGTGGTAAATACGATTGATTTTATTAGAAGTTCGATTTGATTCAAGATCATCGAGTTCCTACAGAGACGGCATGTTTGAATGAAGTAATTCAAAGAGAGTCATTCACTTTTAATTAAAAATAAATGAACTTGTTATGAAGGAAATTACTGTCAAGAAAAGCCTTCACAGAATTTCGCGATGATCGAACTACATGACGTCTGTTTTTGAATATTCGAAATAAATTTGATTTTGAACCTAGTACAATTCCAGAGATGCGATACAGTTGCAAGATTTTCCCTTCGAAGCGCTATTTGAACGAAATCCAAGATAAAATGAATATCTAAATTATTGGTGAATTTTTCACTCTCCAATCTCCTTCGCGCAGAGCCGTTATTTCTTACCGCGCATGAAATAAATGTACTAGGAACGAGATCGAAGATTCCTTAAAGTGCCGATGACGTCATTTACTCAACCAGAAACACAACATACAAATACAAATGTCGATATATATTCAATTTCAAGAAACGTGACCGAATRTCAAAACATACGAATGTGCAGAACTGTGTTACTATCACGTGATCACAGCCTTTAACAGCTTAGCCTGCGTTGCTTAGTGGTCTGCGGTTTTGCAAGAGAGAGGCCTTTCTAGTCCCTCTCCGCTCTCTTCTTCCCAACCAAACAGACCACTAATAAACAACTTTCGGGTCGAAAACGATTTAAAAAAATTTTTTTTTTTTTTGCTTTTTCTTTGTGGCAGTATTTTGTATCCCAAGTTCCAATAAACCACTTTAGACAGCGTGTCATTTCTTAGAGTATCATTTCTTTGTTTAACGGTTGCGCATGAGAAGACATATGAATATGGATCAGTACGACTCAAACAAAGAATCTTAGAGATAAGAATGGCACATTACGCCCAAGGTAAAGAAGTCTCTTTCCATGTAGGTTAAATTATTGACAATGTTTTAGCTTCACTTTCGTGTTTTTTGTGAGCAGTTGAACCCGTAGTAGATCGCATGAACTTTACAAATTTTGTAGTTTGGTAATTTTTCCAGTGAGACGCCCTGTCCTTCGTCAATAGGCCCAATCTCGTACCCAGAGCCCTTATTTCTTATTTCGTCGAGCATGCGCAGTAAGAAATAAGGGCTCTGGGTACGAGATTGCAATAGGCCGTTTGCAACAGTCACGTGCTGACATATTATACTTTGATAACGAATCATTTCAGCTCAAGGTCTCTTGGGGAAGGCTCTGCTGGATGGCAAACAAACTTTACACTGCTTCGTATCTTGAAATCGAAAGTATCTTATAAGAGGAAAAAAGAATTTTTGAAAAGGTTTTTGATATGACATTAGTAATCCAGCAAAAAATCTTTAAATAAAGGAAGTCCAAACTTTTTTGCCATCCAGTAACGATCACGTGTCAATCTATTGCAAAAGGCCTAATTCACCTATAAAATACACTGAAAAATTATCGAGAAATTAAAACATTAATCATATCCTTTTCGTAATCACTACCAAATCCTGCAATCTGATTGGTTCATAGGAGTGTCATTAATTCCCAAATCGCATCCTTAGGAGCTCTTAATCGCATCCTTTTGAGCTGTTAATCGCATCTTTTTGAGAGAACCAATCACAGAACAGAATTCTTATATTCGGCCAATCAGAGAAGAGAATAATAAGCATTATTTATGGATATTTAATGATTTGCTGATAAATCGTATATTTAATACCAGGAAAAACCTGTTTGATTTACTTCTTCTTCTACATTAAATCGATTATTCTGCACTCTTTATTGTGTCTTTTTCTTTTGTATGATCACAAAAAGGATATGATGAAGTGGTAATTGAACTTCGTGTCGTGCAATTTTGGTCCAAATTGCACTCCACTCAGTTCAACTACCATCATTAATCCAAGATCAGAATAGAAGTTTTTCTTTTGGGGATGTGAGAATTTGGTGATTCTTCATTGTCAGCTTTGACCTTCTCATTTTTCAGTATCTTGTTTTGGGAAAATTCGGTTGAGACTGGCGCGAGTCGTGCTGTGAAGTGACGTAATGCTTTCGCCTCCCACGTGATTTTGTATCCGGGAATTTCATGTCGTCGCTTCGCAATGTAACCGAGCACCTCCGCGACGTATCTAAAATAAAAAAGTTGCTTTTTAAATAGGAGATTCAAACACTACGTTTGATACCACGTGATTGATGGCTATATAGAGACAGCGAGGGAAGGCACAGGGAACCCATGCTTGTTTTTTGTGCAAGTACATTACAGTAAATATCAAATTGATTCCATAAGTCGTAGTTTTCGTTCCTTTGTGAGTTATCGATATCCAGAATCCAATAAAAGAGCTAAATATATGTAGAGCTAAATATAGAGTTAATATATGTGCTAGTAAATACAAAGAAAATCATTATATTACTCTTCTGGTATTTAAGTAAGAAAAAAAGATGGATTGATGGATGGATGGAGGGAGGGAGGGAGGGAGGGAGGGA